GGAAAATTTAAGGAGTTATTATTATGTACGTTTAGATGATACAACCGGTAGGATACTTTTGCACGTTACTGTAGCTTTCAACGGAGGCATTATATTTTGACAAACGTGCGTTGGGGTTGGTCAGCCCGCCCTTTTTACAGATTATAAATAATAAAAAACATTGACTAGTAAAATAATTGTCAGGGAAATGTACTCTTTTTTATTTAATTATTAAATATAAAAGCTATTCTTCTATTGTTTATCAAGGGCTATATATATATATATAATCGTTTGCTAGTGATGTAAAGCTGTTATCAGAGGGGAGAAGAAAAAAAATTCCTTGTAGCAGTACAATACAAAAGAGGCTTGATACACAACAATAGGCAAATTGATAGTAAATGGTAATCTGATTTGCAATTTTAGTATTAGTATTGTGTGGTCAAGGTTTTTCTTATGTCTTGTTACAAAAAGACCAATAAATGTTTTGTTTGTTTCTTATTATTATGGGTCCTCTTATATCAATAAATTATTAGTTACTATAAAGTTGGGTTATTTGAATATGTTTTTTAACAGTTTATTAAGCATTTATAAAATTTATAATAAACCCCTCTATAAATGCAATCTCTACTTTCTGCAGTTTATGTGTCATAATCCAATAGATATATTTCTCTATATTTAATGTAAAAATGGTCTGTACCATAAATAAAGAGTAACACTTTGAATAAAAACTCTAAAATGCCTTCCAATCAAACAAAAACAACATTAAGTTAAATTCGGAATACTAAACCATTTTAAGCGTACGTTAATTAAATTAAGACCAAATAAATGTAACTAATAATAATTACTGTTTGATAAAGTCTAAATAAACAATGCAGGAGTCTAATGAAGACGTTACTAGTCCTGATATCGATTGACTTGAGTTTGTACACAGATAACATCAAGTATGGAACCTGTAAATTCTGACTCGCCCTTTGTAAGCGTCTTTCTATTTGAACTGAACTACAATACAAGATTTTGACACATGTTTCAAGGATCATTAAATTGCCCCCTGAAATCTTCGGTCACTTCCCGTTTTAGCACCAACTTTTCTCCCATGTGTTATTATTATCATTATTACAAACATGCGACAAATGCATACACTGTACATATACGGACTCGTTTCAATCTGTACCACCTTAATATGTTCCTGACATTACATAAATAAACGTTTAATTAAAAAAAGATTTAAAGAAAAAAAAAAAGAAACACCTCTACCCCAATGATCCTCAAAACTGCTGTTGAGGTTGCAATCACAGCCGTCGTAGCTGGCACTTTTTATTACTACCTTCCCGACTTGTGGCCCTTTGTCGGTATAGTTTTATTCGGGTCGTGGAGTAAATATCTGGTCGGAAAGTTTAATGGTAAGAGGCCGAGTTACTTTAATAACTTGAGCGTAGCTCATTCTTGATTTATTGAAAAAACTTTATATTCGATTATAAAGAAAGGGCACCTGTCTTGAGTCCTACCGAATGGAAGAAGTTTCCTTTGATTGAGAAGATAAGAGTCAGTCATAACGTCGCATTGTAAGTTCTGACTGAAAGCATTTTAATTATTTGGAATGACCAGCGCAATAGTTAATGATCAAATTTGTTTTCAGATATCGTTTTGGTCTTCCCCATCCAGAAGACTTTCTTGGCCTTCCAATTGGACAGGTAAATATTCTCCAACGCGATGACATATATCTTTATGCTCGGTCGGTCTAAGAAATACCTATGTTTTTGATCTTTAGCATATCTCAGTAAAAGCTGAAATAGGCGGTAAGACAGTACAGCGTAGCTATACACCTACGAGTTCCGACGATGACCTTGGACACTTTGATCTGCTGATTAAGGTAATGCAATTACTTTACAAAGCATTCTGAAATTACATCTAATGTCTATGAATCGACACATTAATTCTTATTACTACTAAGTAGACGTATCATAATGGAATAATCTCGAAGTATATTTCTGAACTGAAAATCGGTGATCAGATTGATGTAAAGGGACCAAAGGGTCAGTTTAAATACGCACCAGGTTTAGTTAGAGCAGTAGGAATGGTCGCAGGTGAGAATAATTGCAGACAATGGTAGTAGAAAGCGTTTTTTTTCCCCTTGGTTCTAAATTATTTGTCATATATTTAAATCAGGCGGAACCGGAATAACGCCGATGTTACAAGTAAGCCGGATCTGTGATTCTTTTTTACAAATTATATGCAATATTTACCTTTACCATTCGCCCATTTATTCGCTTGCCAGATAATCCGCGCTATACTGAAGAACCCGGATGATAAGACTATTGTTAGTCTGATATTTGCTAACATTGCATTAGAAGACATCTTGCTCAAAGACGAACTGGATGGTCTTGCTGCTGGACACGACAATTTCACTGTACATTACACTTTAGACAAGGTACTGGATTACGCTTGCCATGTTTCTATATTCTGTATTGATTCATCATCTAATGACTTTTTTCATGCTATCTATTCGCTATTAAAGCCACCGGAGGGATGGACAGGAAATGTTGGGTTTGTGACGGCTGATATGATTAAGAAGCATTGCCCTGCACCTGCGGCAGATGTAAAAATTCTATTGTGTGGACCGGGGCCTATGGTATCCGTTATGAAAAAGCATTGTGAAACATTAGGTTATGAGAAACCAAGGGCCATATCAAAATTGGAGGTAACAAAAATAAGTGTTGAAATCTTTTTATATTAGTCGCCTGTCAATGCCTGACTGACGATGATTTGCTAATTATATATTCATAGGATCAAACATTCGCATTCTAAGTGACATTAATTTATTAATAATTCGAATCTACGTTGACGCTGATGGTGCCATGAAAAAACCTGTAATGTTCTTCTGTTGCTCCCAAAACTATTGATCCAATAAATTTAATATAATTGGTTTCTTCTAAACCGATGTTCTCTCGATCATCGCCTAACTTTTCCTTAACTCTCTCAACATCTTTCTACCTTTTTTATGATCTTCAACGCTTCTTCCAACGCGACTTTGCGGTCCAAATTGTTTCTTTGTCACAAAGTTCCAATGTACCATTACCCATGAAGAGTGATATGCGAGATTATCGTAATATCCGGGCGCAATCCTGCGCACATCCGGAAGTTTTGACCATGGAACCTAGTAAATAAGTTGCACAAGCTAATCAGATATTGACACCGCAGCAAGTTTCTTCTTGTAATTCAATAATATGTTACCTTTGTAAAGTCATGATGTTCGTTGTGATAACCAACGTTCAAGAAGAAAAAATTTAATATTCCATAATACGAATATGTCTCTTGACCGTCGTCAAAAGTATAATGTTCTTGTATGAAATGAGCAGCAGCAGGATGTATTCCATATCCAAGCCAAAGGCTTATGAATAAATAAATCAATCCTCTCAACCCACAGAAATACCATATCAACGCGTCTGTGGTAATAGTAAAGGCCCAGTTAACCAATTCCCAAAACTGGGGTTTTTTCTGCATCACTAGACCACGGATCACATACATCGCCGGATAGATGTTCAACCACAAGAACTTGAGAAACGCATTTCCGCGAATTAGACTACGCTCCCAGTCAAGCGGAAGATCAGGATCCATTCCAACTACGCCCTGAAACGTATGGTGTTCTAGATGATATCGACGGAATGACATTGCAATTGGGAATGGAAGTCCAATATTTGCCATTAACCCAACGATTCGATTCTGGAATCTAGTTGGAGCCGCCAGACAGTGTGTTGCTTCATGGATAATTACGCCATATAGTTGTGTCAATGATGCTCCGACAACATATGAATAGATGAGCATGGTCCAATTCCAGTCTGTCAAGACCTGTCCAAACATATACGCTGCCGCCACTTGGGCAGCTGCAGCTACGATAGTAATGAATGTTGTCCTCAAATCATATCCGTATAATTTCTCAATTTCAGGATGTTTCTTGAGGATGGAGACTTTACGCTTAAGATGCGGCTCATCTAGATCGTCGGTGGCAATGTCTTCGTCAACATATGGTATTGACTTTTTCCATTCACCTATGTATAGAGGATGCCGGTAATCTGGATTTCCCTTCTCCTTCGCGGGCAGAGGCACGTCCTTAGAAATTTCAGTATATGGTGGCATCTTCAGTACTACCGTGCCGTTGTCTGTTACAGACCGACTTGTTTACAAATAAATATATTCGACTGAAGGTCGGCCAACGCGAGGTCAAACTTTCTGGTCATCTTGCAAAATAATTTTTTTTGTGTTTGTCCCCCACTGCTGCCAAAAACGTGTCGAACAATTAATCCATCAATCAATTACTAAAAAAAATTTTTTTTTGCTGATTATCTTCCCATAAAATGTTTGTTGTCAATGCGCGATGGAGGCCAAGTAGAAAAATGGGAGCGGTTCGGTGGTTATCTACATTATCAAAAAAAGGCAAACAGTTGATCTATAAATTAGGAGACTTGAACATTGAAGGCAAAGGTGAATTTCCAAATAAATGGCATATACCGCAAGTCATACCACTTAAAGAATGGATTGATAGAACCCGCAACATTGATGAAAACGAAGTCAGTAGGCATAAGAATTGGATTTATCTTTTAATTCCGCCGAGTAGTCTCCATAATGCACATAAATTATATACGCAGGAGCTTGAATTTACACATGCTGCAGTCGGTTGGGCTCATGCGCTTGTTGCCTTCAAAGATAGACAATCGAATAGTTCGCAAATCTTCTCATGGGGATTAAATACATCAGGCCAACTAGGTAAAGAATCTACATCCATTCCAACAAGAGTCAATAACAATTAATCATACAAGTGCATTCCGATAATTCTTACTATGTAAATAAGGTTTTGATGTAACGACAGAAAATCACGGCCTTGTGCAAAATCTTCCATCTAGTTTCTTGGTCAATTCTCTTCACTGTGGAAGAATCCATTCGCTTGTCTCACTCAAGCGGAGTAATGGTACGTTGAATTCGGATTGAAGAGTGTAACTAGAGTATTGTTCTTGTTACAGAGATAACATGCTCACTACGGTTAAGGAAGAAGTGAACTGTATGCATTTGGTGACTGCATGTATGGCCAACTGGGAATTGGCAAGAGTAAGAACCGAATTGAAGAAGCAGAAAAAGACATTGTATTCGAGCCAATACCAAGGTGTTTGGACCTTAAAGGAAATGTTAAACAAGTCGCTTGTGGTCTGGATCACAGCATAATATTGACCGGTGAGTTGTGTAAAATTTGTGAAAATTTATGTATAGTGCAGTTCTTTAATTATTCTGTATGATTTTTCTTAAAAGATCAGAATATTCTTTACGCAATGGGTTGGGGTGCCGACGGCCAATTAGGCATTGGAAGTACTTCAGATAAAGACGTTCCAACAATAATCCCTTTGCTCTCGGGCAAGCCGGTGAAAAAGATCGCTTCGTCCACCGATTTTACGTTCGCGTTGCTGGGTGAGCGACTTTGTCTCCAATTGGCTTTTATTTTTTTTTGTTCTGCTGCCTATACGTTCTCATTATAGATAACGGCGAGTTATGGTCATGGGGTAATTCTGAATACGGTCAATGCATGACTGGGAAGAAAGTCGAAAAGGTAGGTTTCAGAATAAGAATGTTTTCTATCTTTCGAATTATTATGAATACTTACTTGATAGCCCTAAAGATTTTAGAACCAGTCAACATACTCACGAATAATGAAATCATTGATATTGCAGCTGGAGGACCTTTTGGCTTGTACTTGACAGGTCTTTGTGAATCCATAATATAATATCTAGTCTGTCCTCCAAAAACGTGATGAATAACAAGTTCAGGGGCCATCCGAAGGCATTCTGTTCACGACAGAAATGTGATGAGCGATAACGAACTTGCTGAGTGCATCGTCACTCTTACCTGATCATCAAAGAAATACAGAAGTTGGGCTCATACAATACTTCTATTAATACCAATTCATCTGTTAACAAATTACAGGCGATGGCGAAGTCTACTCTTGTGGCTATGGATCAATAGGATTTGGAAAAGATGTCGTCGAGATACTGACACCCACGAGAATACCTTCACTGCATAACATTGTGGAAATCTGGAGTACAAGTGATTATGCTCTGGCTAAATCAGGTGATGCATATAACTACTCTCGTTAATTATTAAAAACAAGAACAAAATCTCAATTTCAAACATAATATCAGATCTAGGCAAACTTTACATCTGGGGCCTCGGTTTTTATGGAGATAATTTGTACAATCCCACGAAAGTAGAGTTTCAACAAAAAGACTTGGTGATAGAAAAAGTTGCATGTGGGATACGAGGTGCTATAATAATAGCCAACGAAACAACATAGGAAGGAGGCTATTTTCGCAAGTCCCGTAACTATTTATGCTCTCATGACAAACAATAGTTAATCTATAGTGTAACCATGACACTTCTAATAATTATATACTACAAATCATAGTGCTTGTCTATCATTTCACAATCTGTACAGTTAACTCACCACTACCGTATCCAAGGTTATTGTTACCAACGCCCAATAGTGGACCCAGTCTTTGATACACGTGCTCTAAGACTGTTTGATCGTTAGCCTCGGGCGTCACTTGGACAGTTAAAGAACCTATAAGTTGACCATACGAATTTTGCCAGACATGTGTCTGTGTTATTGAAAGTATGGCTGGATCGCGTTCTTGCAGCTGTTGAAAGGAATTGTTAGCTGAAAGCATATTTCTCAAAATGTCGAGTTGGGAGAGAATGGGTTACCTCTTGCAGACAAGCTTCCAAACTTAAAATTATGGTTTCAGGAGTTGTTTGTAGTAATATTTTACCAAGAGCTATTGCAAGTGGTACTCCAACATAGAACATTAAAAGTGATTCACATATCGAAACAATTATATCCAACCATCCTATATGTTCACTGTTAAAAACAAAAAAGATATCCAATAATAATATGAGAAAATGTTGTCTTGTTCAACATGTCAAAGAGAAAATAAAGAAATAAAGAAAAACTGACTAGAAATCTCACTTGATCTTTGTAAATATTCCTACTATTAAGACTCCAGCACCACAGAAGAGTGTAGTTAATGTAAAAATGTTGCCTTTTAATATTGAAAGCATGTCTTGTGACGACCGATGACTATAAAGCGAGGTGCCTACTGGTGGCGACCTGAATACTGGAGAGGCAATAGATATTTCAGTAAGGTGAAATAAAGCCAAACGAAGATAAGCTTGCATGACAAACAAACCAACATGCACAAAACTCTTTATGATTTTGATAACCAATGGCTGACACCAATGTTGCCCCAATCGACATCAGCACCCAAAGCAATGGAAATTCAACGCTACAAAGCGAAAAGTTTAGTATTATGTTGTTACTTCAAACTATAATCAACAAACCAGTACCTCTCGTCGTAATGATCTTCGCTTGATTCCAAGAGCAGATGTTCCAGGCTTTCCTTCATTACATACATAGCTACGAATATCAGATATATCGTGTTGATGAAACCCAATAAAACTTCGTATCGCTGCACACTAAACAAAAGAATCAGTAAATATCCAAGATATTGACAACTAATGTATGGCATCTAAAGAGTTCATACCCAAACGGATGTTTAATGGATGACTCACGGAGAGATCGGTATGTTATGAGAACCGCTGAAGCAAAGGTTGTAAATACTCCGAAAGCATCAAAAATTACTAAATATGCAAATCCTGTCAAAGCTAATATAAAGATCATATATGCAAATTAAATATATAAGAACAAGGTATACATCTGGTTTGTTGGAACGGCCGAATGAAATTTTTTTCTTATACAGATTTATTCCTAATGTGACTCGAGTCTCAGTCACTCACCCAAGCTATCATTCCATTGACCTTTGGCCCATAAAACGATGCCAAAACAAAGATGAACCACGCCCCATGTGAATAACGTCTTCTGCCCTGGAGGAAGCGTAGAAAAAATATAACGTAATGATGGAAGCTCTCGTAATTTCACGTTCTTACGTGAGAAGCGATTAGGCATTTTTTAAGCAGGTAACCTCAAATCTCGTCATCACTACTAATAGGAGTACAATTCTCTGTGTCTAAATCTGGCAATGAGCAACTGTGGCTTGTCGTACATACAATTGGGAATGTAAGAAATGGCGATAGACTTTTCTGTATCTGAAATGCTCCGTTGATGGATGCACATGTTGTATCTTGTCAATTATTGAACGAAAGCTTAAACGATTGAGCAGATCTTTGGTATAGATAACGGAATATTACCCTGGGATTTGAGGTGTGAAAGTGATCTATTTGTGTAACTAAGGGTTTTTATTATGGCAGTAATAGCGCGTAATAGTAATAAATTGGCCGATATTTCAGCTCTATTCTATTCCACTCATTACTAAAATTCAAAGAGTTTTTGTGTTTAGAAAAACAAGCTCTCTCTGAACGGCGACGGTTTCCTGAATTTAACTTTGCTGAAATAAAAATTAGAAATAATCCTTTAATTATCGGCGTTTAACACATGGATAACTAAAATTTTATGCACATGCCTACATATGGCAAGTATTATTATCAATATGTATGGTTTTTGTGGCATCAAAAAGACATTCTTCCCTTACCTCTAAATATGGAGGAGTCTATGATACTTGGTGAGGTTGGCGCGCTAGAAACTTCCGTGGAAGAATCGGTCGACTTGGCGGACCACATTACTAGCTTGGCTGATGCTAATGCAGAGGCAAACGTGCCAAAGAGTCCGTCAGCGTCAGACACGAGTGGCCAAGAGATTCTTCTGTCTTTGCTATGTGAGACGTTACCATCTCCAGATTGCGAAAGAACAAAGCAGAGTTGGGCTAAAGAATACTTGAATAGACTGACCGCGCTTCCTCTTGATTCGCTTAAATTGGAACCATCGCTGGTAAAAGATGAAGAAGCAAAGATCCAAGCTGATCTAGCTGAGCTATGCTTTCGTGAATACAAGTCTTTTATTCACACTAGCGATTGCTCGGCACAAACAAAAGATTTACTAGATAAACTGGACATTCACTTAGACTTGTTGTTATCAACCATTCCGTCGTTTGAGAAGGCTTGCTTGTCCTTTAGCCAGCAAACAGAAGAGATCTCTCGGGAACGGAACAGCATCAATACTATTCTAGAGAATTATAATAATCTAGTCGATATACTAGAGATACCACAGTTGGTGGATGCCTGTGTACAAGATGGGGCGTATTCGGAGGCGATGGACTTGTCGGCATACGTGACTCGATTGCTTTCCAAGTATCCGACTATTCCAGTAATCCAACAAATTGACCAATGTGTAAAACGTTCGATACAACAAATGCTTTCAAAGTTGGTCGCATTGTTGAGTGAACCGATAAATTTACCTGTTTGCCTGAAAGCGATTGGTTATTTGCGGAGAATGGAAGTATTTGATGAAGCCGAATTGAGACTCGTGTTTTTACTATCTAGAGATGCTTATTTTCAATCTCTCTTACGGGGCATTGAAAAAGAGAAAAACGATCCGGTTGAGTATTTGAGACAATACGTTGGTATCTTCAAAGAGAGATTTTTCGAGATAGTTGCCCATTATCGTAATGTGTTCTCTGATGATGGTAGTTTTATCTCTTCGTCTCTATATTCTGCACCATATTCACCGTCTTCTCCTTCGTCACCATCTTGGAAGGCAGCCATGGAGTCACCTACTTCAGAAATATCAGCAACTAAGCCAGTTACAGCATCGACGACTGTGCTCGCCGATTATACAGTTCACATCCTAGGACAATTAACTACCGTGTTAGCCGAATTTACTCCATTAATAAATGATACGTCGGCACTTCCTACAATATTAACTCAGTTGATGTATTGTGGAATGTCTCTTGGTCGAGTGGGGGTTGATTTTCGTCATTTAGTCACGGGTTACTTTGAGACAGCGGTTCACCGGATAATCAGATCGATGATAACGAATGCTACAACAGAATTTATAGCTGAAGTCAATCAAGCTGCCGATAAAATGCAATTGCCGGGGGTCTGGATGGTTGGTGACAAACGGTCATCTTCACTAAATATTGTGGATTCGATGTCTTCTTTAAGAAATCCTTCCGTGATAGACTCTTCATCATTCACACCACAAATTATACTTCTTGATTATCCTCCGCTTGCTCATTTGACCAATGCGTATCTTAATGCTTTCAACTCTCTTCGGATACTTGCGCCAGTTTCGCTGTTTCATCCTCTTGGCTCGCATCTGTCACAAAATTTATTATTTATTGCACAAATATTACGTGATTACGGGAATACGCTTGTTGAATATGGACATAATATTGTAATATTACAAGGATTCTGCGCTACATTCGCACAGTGTTTCGTGCCTTTTATTACGAGATGTTTTGTTGATGGTGTATATGGAGGGTTATTGGGTGACGGCCATGAGCACGGGATGGGGATTATGGATGGAACAGCAAGTAAAGAAGGATTTGTAATTATTGATCACTCAAAGATACTGGATACTCTAAAGAGCATTCTACCTACTCCCAGAAAAGTTGCTGTACATTCGAATGGCATGGAGAGTAATAAATCTAACGGCACGGTTGAAAAAGCGAATGGGCGGAATGAAAAAATTGATGATAACACAGTGGACGATATATCGCTTAAATCAAATACAGTCGCAAACGATAAAATAGACGATGGTCAAGTAACAAGTAAAATGCATGATGACAAGTCTGTGTCTTCGGAAGATCGACGGGGGGAAGAAGTTAATGACGAGAAAGCAAATGCGGATGTAATAATGGTTAGTTAATGGATTGGACAAGAGAGCTGTGCATGGCTTTCAAAAAATTACATATTTAAAACTATATAAAACTATCTATATATCTGAAACGTAGAGATAAAAGAAATTAATACAAATTCGGCCACAAGGATAAAGAAGATGCTTTTTATTTAAAATGAGAACGTCTGACTCCTGCTTGGATTCCATAGTCTTTAGTATCATTAGCATTATCGACAATAGTCAAATACAGTAGTTTGACTAATTGACAATAATGCAGATCACTCTTTGTGCAGAGGTCCGGCACCCCCGGGAACCCCAATGCTAAGGCAGTTAATGGTCACCAACCAACTCTCATTCGACATACTCGAGCTGCGAGGTTGGTGGCCCATAAACATCCCCACATCTACTCTCAAACGCAGATACCATCAATTCACTTATTTGGTCGAAGAACACGCCAGATATTTGGGCATGCAATGGTGATGCAAATTCGAATTCGAGATAATACTCTAAATGACAATGGGTTGGCAAAATATCGTGTGGTATAAATCGCCATGTACTAATCAGCTGTCGAAATAATACATCCGAAGTACCTATTGCCTAAAACTCCGTAAGCGAATGATTGGATGGTGACAATACTTATTTAAAGAGAGGTTGAGTCATACCTGCACATACCATGGCCTTTCGCATGTTACTTCAGAGACATAGGTCTCTTCGAAACCTTTAAAGCCAACAGACAATTCAGCCGTAAGATAATTCATTCCCGAATCATTTGTACTTGCAGCAAGTATTTGTGAATGAGTGCAGTATGGAACAAATAGTTTATACTCGTTGACGTTGGCAACGACATCATAAAGTTGAGATTGCGTGTAGCTAGGTCGATTGAAAATAGTAAATCGTGATGAGAGTTGTGAGCGGATAGATTGGACTAATTAATAATTTCGAATGCAATAAATACCCAAGTAACTTCTCGGCTTTGTATTCCCTTTTTGAAGATAGCGCACTTAAACTGAAGAACGTTTGTTTTCGAAAGGCAGTTAGACTTCGTGTAGCAGATGAGAGTGGTTTACCATATGATGTGGTGAGTGTGTGTGAAAGTCTTCGTAAAATAATGGCCATCGGACTTGCATATGGGAAAAGATAATTTCTGACATTATTTATTATTGGTTGTTGCCATCTACGTGATGATCCACATACTCGATTATATCACAAGCAAATTTGTACACAAAAAAAAAAAGTGATTTCCCTCCCAAACGCCGTCAAGTTGAACGTGCATTATTTCTCTCGATATACTGTATCTACTTTAATTAATAAAAGCATCAAAAATGTTCATGCGTCAATTTTTTCATATGTAAATGTTGCATTATACAGACATCTATGTGTACTGGGAGAACAACATGAAAAATATATAAATTCTTTCATAGTAATAGAGATGATCCTAATAATTTTAGCAGACAGCAAGAACGTGATCAAGAAAGAATTATGTGAAGAAAATCGGATTGTCGAGAATTGGGTCTTATAGAATAAGATGAAACTTTAAATGTTTGTTTTTCATTAAAATTCTTATTTTCGATATAATAATTTAGTGTTAGTTTAATTGGAATGAACGAGAAGAGCATGCCTATATACGTATACGCCATTGATGAGATACCCAAAGAATGTTTGAAGCATATGAAATCTAATGGATTTGCGCCGGATTGGCCTTTTCGTCTTCTAGTCTGTGGAGGGTCTCATAGCGGAAAAACGAACATGGTTGTAAATCTTATGCTCGGTAATAAACTTCAGCGCATGTTCAAAGGAAAAAAAAGGGGAGCGGATATTAAGAATGATAACCTTATATTGGTAGGAAAACACTCTGAGCCAAAGTGGCAACCAGTACAAACCAGCTTTCAGATTTTTGCGAATAGCCCAAAACCATATCGAGAGGATGTCACATTTAAAAGAATAACACCTGATAAGATTCCCGATATAACTAAATTCTCCCCAGGTCGAAGTACAGTTGTTGTATTCGAAGATTAAAAAAAAGCATCTAAGATTATTGACAAACATTTGCGAGATCGGAATTTCGTGGTCTTCGATTTTACTAAAGCAACTGATGATCCTCTTGCAATTAGATTAGGTTGGGACACGCCTTTGGAATTGAATTAATAGTGTTACGACAAGCTGATCTGATGAATCAGATAAGTTAGTCACATGATAAAATCTTACTCCGCAGTTAAACAAACCCATGATCGGCACTAATTTTAGTTTATATTTAGTAATACAGATATTAATTTAGTAGCGTGTCGCAAAATATGTGACAGCAACAAACGCTAAAATTAATTGTTCTTCATAGTATAATAATTAGTATTGAATCACTTGCTGCAAGCTAACAGAGTTTATGACAAAGTTTATCGCGCATTTATTAAGGTTGATCATCGATTTTTCAGGGATGTTATGCAGGGTCAATCATTATAAAAAAAATCTGTCCTAGTTGTTTCAATAGCTTTTTGCTATCGTTTGTGTAATAAATACGAACCTTTTTCCGATTATGCCGAAGTCTAAGAAACGCGTCCATTCGCCTCTTGTTGATATGTCCTATTTGGACCTGAACAACTTAGACTTGGACCGTGCCTACAGTCTCCGAGAGTTCGAATACATTAGTGAACAACTTAAAAACCGTCCTATAAAAATTAAAGAAGAGTTCGTTCA